TTATCTTCTTTTTTCTAACACGAATAACATTCCCCAACGGGAATCTCGCACCAGGCAGGGCACTGGGATAACTCCCGAACGACCACCCCGACCCGAACGCGAACCGAACGCGAACCGAACGAGGGGCGCCGTCGTACAACACTTGAGTTTCACTGGACATCTAAACGATATCGCCTTTTCCTCTCAAATCCGAGAATGTGAACCATGTTCCCACCGACTGGCGGCCCCTCATAAAAAATAGGAATTTTCTATTCAATACAAAATTAAACTCAGAAAATGAAATGCTTCAGAAAAGGTGCATTAATTGTTTTGTTTTTTCTCAAATCCGGGAGGGAACCATGTCCCACTGACTGGAGGCCTTCTCCCCGCATATAAAAATAAATTTCCAAATGGATAAAAATATTAATTTGATATACAAAATGGATAACGTTTTTTGAAGTTCATGTTTACTGCTGTTATCTCACGTGTTGAACGCTGTCACACTTACTAGTGCTCAAGACTTAAAGGTGTCGACTAAAACTGTATTCCTTGGACTCATTTACAATCATTTGGGATGTCTTAAAAGCAATTGACCATTGCATGGTGGCTTATGAGAGTATCTACGATGCCAGCCCCTTATTTGAAAGACAATTTTTATTTGAATTCCGGCTGATTCTAATAGAAATGCTAGGATACATGAAGTGCAAGGCATAGCTTGCCCATAGAAAGTCACATTTACTCTCCACAATTCGTGCAAGTGTGAAACGCAAGGAAGGTTGAGCAGTTGTAAGGTCTTTAGAACTTGAGATGCCAGGTCAACGGTTCCATCTTTAAAGTTTGATAATTTCACTGCTCAACACTGCGTTGCATACCATTTTAAATGTTAATAACAATCCCTTCTGCAGTGAAACATTTCCAGTAAAAGCCTGTGTTTTCTTTTTACTGTCATTCCAGCTGAGTCATCAAATTGTATATGAGAAAATTTTACACGAATGAATAAATATATTAGAAGTTATGCAAGGGGTAGGGGTAAAAATGAGAGTTTTTTAAAAATGTAAAAAATATCAGAATTAAAATTCTTTAATAGGTCGCGCGCACCCGGTCACTCTCTGTGGGGAGCATACAACAAGGCTGATTTGGTTGAGGAGGTAAAGTCCCTCCCTCCCCGCGACCGACAGAGACAGCGCTACGCACCCGTAGACGTGATCTCGATGTGCTTCTCCACGATCAGCTTCTCGTGCATCCGGGGCGACCAGAACCTGGGCGAATACTGGACATCCAGCTCCTGTGACAGTTATTTTGGTTAATATTTTTAGACAGTCATTGTTTATTTTGTCGTCCTCCAGTCTGAAAACAACGACCGTCTACCGAAATATTTGAACCACACGTCTCATAATCATGTGAGCTTGTTGGAAGCTGACTGAAGGAAATAACTTGAATGGTGTGTTGTTCTAGCACAGTTATTTATTGTTGATTTTTAGTCGTT